TCTGCTCGGTTTCCTTTGTTCTTATCGGGGAATATATTCAATATTCCCCTCTAATCAATTTCCGTTTAATAATCCCCTCTAATATTCACCTGCAATTAATAATCCCCTCTAATATTCATCTGCAATGTCTTTGCAGCACAAAAAATGAGAAAAAACAACATCGCGAAGGCAATATGGCATTAAGAATTATTTCTTTTCTGACTCATTAACGCGACCTCGCAGTGTGAAAAATAAGTACGTTATTTTGAGGCACCTCGGAGATATGTGTTTATTCACCTCGGCGCTGCGCGCCTCGGTGAATAAATCACATATCCCCTCGTTGCCTCAAAATAACCTATACATATTTCAATCTCGTACCCAGAGCAATGCCTGTGCGCGGGCTAGGATGGCATTGGCAGTGGGGAAATTGACAACCGGAACCCCTAAATTTAGGGGTTCCGGTTCTTTGTCGGCATTCACGATTGATAAACGTTAAACCAATCACAGCACAGGGAAATTCAATTTCCCCAGAGCCAATGCCATCCTAGCCTACGCACAGGAAAAAGTTATTTCGCTGACCTCAGAATGACATTTCATCAAAATTTTTTTCTTTAAGATTGGTTTAGAAACAAACTTAGAGTAGGGTTAGGTTAGGGTTAGGGCTAAGATTACGGTTAGGATTAGAGTTGGTGTTTGGAATAGGGTTAGTGTTAGAAAAACCGTTGCTTTGTTACGTTTTGTCACTCTGAGGCCAGCGAAATAACCTCTTCCCCGCGCACAGGCATTGCTCTGGGTACGAGATTGCATGAATTTAGAAGAACAAGCAGTGGACCAGTATATGAGAGCAGTGGATCAACATTATCCCGCACGAGCCCTAACCCTAATATAATCTTAATTATCCCGAGATCTTAATGAGCCCATTTCCCCAAACAAATAGGTCTGAATCCTGAGTGTAGAGTGATACAGCACGGCGGCTGTGGCACATCTTCTAAAACCAAGTTATCTTTCAGAACTTCCCTGCAAGATTCTATCTCCTTACAGCACCACCAAGCTTCGTGTGTATTTTGCATGTATATGTGTTAATATCACACAATGGCCGCATTTACACTTGCGAAATAAGATACAGGTGAGAGAAGTGTGGTTTGAGTGCCAGTTTGATGTGACTGATGCCGTATCCAAAATATATCAGCCAGAGATACTTATTTTACGTTAAAATGTTAAAATAAATCTATGTTTATGCTCACCATGCATGATTTAATATCTTCAAGGCCGTTTTGTTCCTCGTGTTCCGCATATTTAGATATCGCGCGTAGCATTCTTCGCTTGCTAGCGGTTCATCGGCATAAAGGCATGCATCATAATCGCCTAAAGTGTCGCTATCAACTGCTTTTATAGAGTTCCAATTTCGTGACTGTATCATTTGATTCATCCTCTATAATATACCCAGTAATATAATTGTATTCTTAGTCACACTGAGAACCATGAGTGCTGGAAATATACAAAATCAGTGCCTTTTTTAACTATATATCTGGGGGGGCAATTGCCCCCCCCAGGGAAAGAATTCCCCCCCCCCCCAGTAAAGCCATTTCTGCCCCCGAAGTGCGAAGCAGAATAGCTCATGATTGCTGTCAGAATTGCAGTTGATTTACTTGATAATGAGATTATGCCCTTCCATAGCCCCCTCCACAGTCATCTTGTGTGTAATTCATATTGTTCTTCACCGAGTATTTCATAATAGCGATAGATTTCATGCAAACAATACGATAAAATGCTGGTTCCAAGAAGAATAGATTTAGTTTTGATTTTTAACTGTTAAATACATGTATGCATCATCATAGCATGAATATTTCTTCTCAGATTTATTCTGTATCGTATGAAAAAGCAACGCAATTTTGAGAATGCGGAAATGGTGTCTCACAGAGAGGAAATAAGGTGACACTGACCCCTCCTCCTATTTTTCAAGGTGACTTTTCCAATTGATTTAATTCCGAGTACAAATGTCTGGAAAAATTCATGTCTTCGATGTACTTTATAATCTTCGGAATTCTTCGGAATTTCACTCCCAAAATGCTTGAAATCGCAATTCAGGGACCCTAGATTCCAAAATTTTCCCAAAGGTGCATGCCCCCGGACCCTCCTAGACGGTCTCACACCTTCGGCGTGAGGTTCGCCCCCCAAAAAAATTAAGGTCTGGCTACGCCACTGGTTATAGCTGTACGATTATAGCTACAAAGAATTGAAGTTATTGTTTATATAGGTGACGTTAATAAATTAAAGTTTTACAAAATCTCTCTTCAGACTCGCGCGTTCGCCAAACCTCGACGGCTCATATTTTTCGTTCTGCCTTTTTTTC